GGGATAGTGGTGGGCGCTGGGGTGGTCGGGATAGTGGTGGGCGCTGGGGTGGTCGGGATAGTGGTGGGCGCTGGGGTGGTCGGGATAGTGGTGGGTGCTGGGGTGGTCGGGATAGTGGTGGGTGCTGGGGTGGTCAGGGTAGTGGTGAGTGCTGAGATGGTGGGGGTAGTGGGCACTGGGGTTGTCGGGGTAGTGGGGGATGCTGGGGTCATATGGGTTGTGGAGGGTTCAGTAGTGGGTCTTATAGTTTTGGAGAAAGGGATGGATTCTCTGGTCACTGGGAATGTGGTGTGTGTCCTAGTGGATTCTTGGGTTGGTGACAAGAAAGGCGGTCGGCTGTCTAGAACAGTGCTTATTTCTGAGTAGAGTAGTCCCTGGTGGGTTGTATGGGCTTCTGTGTTGGCGGAGAACCTGCTCACGACACTCTTAGGCTCCTGAACCTCCTCTGAATAGACATCATAGCTTGTGTCTTCCCTGTCACCGTGGCTGAGGCAGCCCTCCCCTTGGTACTGGTAGACAGGAACTTTGGCTGTATTCACACACTGCACACTTTTCACATTGGGGGTCATGGCCTTGACATCCACACCCTCCTGCCACAAGTAGACATTGTTGGCATTGTCCTGCAGCCAGCGACGGAAATAGAGGATCTCGCAGTTACAGGACCAGAGGTTGCCGTGTAGAAAAACAAAGGGCAGGAAGAGTGTCCCAAAGAAACCCTTTGGTATCGTGCGCAGCCAGTTCTGGTGCAGGTAGAGCGTGTCGAGTTCATCCAACCCATCCAGAAGCCCAGGGGGCAGCTCCTTCAACTTGTTGCTAGCCAGATTGAGCTTCCGGAGCTGGGGTGTGGGTGCCAGCAGCCGAGGGGGCAGAGTGCTCAGCTTATTGCCACTCAGGTAGAGCTCGTGGAGCTGGCTCAGGCCATCCAGAGCATGGGGAGACAAGGAGGCCAACTGGTTGAAGGAGGCGTCCAGGGTCGTGAGTGCCGGCAATGTCTGGCCCAGCGAGGGCAGGCTTTTCAGCTTGTTGTGCGATATATCCAGGGTCTCCAGCAGTGGCAACGTCCCATCAGTCTGCAGGCTGGCCAGCTGACTCTCACGTAGGTGCAGCTGAGTGAGGCGAGTCAGAGGTGCCAGGGAAGCCATGGAGAAGGTGCCCAGGGCGTTCTCCCCAAGGCGGAGGATGGTTGTGTCAGCTGGCAGATCTCGAGGCAGCACCTTCAACCCCCGATTCTCACAGTTCACTTCCACCTGACTGGCCACTCTGGAGACCTCGCAGATGGAGTGGGGGTGTGAAGCGCTTGGCAGCAGGAGCAGCAAAAAGAGGAGAGGCATGGGGACCTGTGGGCACGGGGGCTTGAATGGGCACCCGCACCCCCAGTCCCTGGCATTATTTCCCAGACCCCAACCTACTCCCGCCCCCCACTGCCCACCCACTCTGTAGCAGCCTCCAGGATCCTTGCCAGAAACTGACCTCCCACCCTCTCTACACCCATCTAAACTGTTCGCTCCTCAATGGCTTGCTCCCATCCCACCCTGAGAACCCCCTCCACCCCCAGCCCCAACCTCAGCTTACAGGCAGGCAGAAAGACCTCCGCAGGCACAGGGCTTCTTCCAGAGTGTGACTCAGTTCTTTTCTCTTCAGCTCTAGGGAGGGCCCTGTCTGGGGCAGGAAGGAGGTGGGCATGGGGAGGAAACACCAGCCTGATAGGGACCCTTGTAACCCAGAAACAGGACACAGGCCCTTATCACCTCCTTCCACAAATTTCCCCCAAGCCCTCCTTTGGGCTTGCCTCTCTCTCCCATTTTCCTTCTGGGGGGGCATTGGTAATGGACTCTAACCCCTGTCCCCATCCAGCCTTGATAAACTTCTCCAACTGATACTCTCATTTCCCCTTCACAGCCATTCTCAGAGTTGCCTATTTAAACCTCAACTACTTCTGCATTCTCACCCCATTCTAGGCTGGTTTCTGCAGTCCCCACCCTGACCCACTGACAAGGTGGCCAGTGTCCTCTGCATACTCTGGATACGTGTCCGTGTCCATTGTGCTCTTACCCACAATGCCCTGAGTTGGTCCCAAGTTTCTAACTTCCTTTCTCCCCACTCCCCCCTGGAGTGGCCTTTTGGATGTGCAAATCACCCATATTCTACTCCCTGAAACTCATCCATGGCTCCTTAGGGCTCTCAAGAGAAGTCTAAGGTCTCTAGCACGCAGCCTGTAGGGTCCCGTGTGATCTGACTCTTGCCCATCCTCACTTCTTCACAATCCACCCTTCACTCTAGATTATTCTCTTTCCTGTGCCTGAACTTTTTTTTCACTTTTTAGCCCTTTCTACCTAACTTCTGCTTATCTGGAACCTTCCAGCCCAGGATTTCTTCCTTAGGAAAACATTTTAGGACTTCCCAAATCTAGGTTAGATGTCTGTGTCAGGAAGTCTGTCACGTGGCTATTGGTCAATAATGACAAAATATCCCCACCCGCTGTCCCCTAGAAGGGGCACCTTTTAGCAACTTCCGCTCACCAGTGCCTGGACAAGGGTTGGCACTTGAGCCACAGACTTGCTCTTTACACATTTTTTCTGTTTGTCTATGTAATTTGCCAGCTGCAAAAAGCATTGGAAATATGGAGAAAATGAGGCCATAGCAGCAAGTAGAAAGTTGCCTAGAGCCCTGAGTGTGTTGGGGCCCTGAGGCTCTGGTTTTTGCTGAGTTGCTATCAGCTCAGGTAATGGTTGTGAACAGAAGATGTTCTGGCAAATTGAGGATGGAAAGGAATTTGTTTCACATAAATGAGCTACAACATGGTGACCATAGTTAATGCTGTATTGCCTTTTGAAAGTTGCTGACAGTAAATCTCAAGTTCTTATCACAAGAAAAAGAAATCTGATATGGTAATGATGTGAACCAGACTTACTGTGGCAATCATCTCACAAGATATACAGTTCCGTGTACACCTGGAACTATATAATGTTGTATGTCGGGTAGTCCTTAATTAAAAAACAAAGACGTGGAAGAAAATTACATCGTCCACTTCACAGCCTTCTTAGTGAGGGCCAGCGAACCAGGTATGGAACCCTGTCGCCAGGACCAGTGCCCAGAGCCAGGCTGCAGAACCAGTCAGGCGAAGCTTCCATTTCCATAACCTCCTTGCCACAAAGAGAATCCCGCACACCCCTGCCCCTCCTGATTGAAGGTCTAGGTGGGGTCTGCTAGATTGTGCCCCCACTGAACATGAATCAAAGAAAGGAAAAGCTGGTGTCTGGCATATATATTTTTTGGCTTCTGGAACAGGAGGCTGATTCTGCAGGAGACCCAAGGTGAAGGACTTTACAGACATAGCATGGAAGGTCATACGGCTTTGGCACCTACTGAAATGATCCCCTGCTTTACTTTGTTCAGATGTCCTGAATTATGTAAATACATTTTCTGATTTTGGGACCTTGTGGTGACCGAGGGGTTCATGCTTTATTTGATAATCTACTGCCTAAGTTCGATTCCCCGTCAGGGAGGTGATCCACATGGAACGGCAGGCCTCTCCTGACCCGCCCGCTGCTCTCCTCAGCAGTGTGCTTCCTCAATCTGCCTGTTCTGCTCCCCACTGTCTCCGGTGAATCCTCTCACTTCTCCTGCTCCTCTGGCTTGTACCCCAGTTCTGTATGCACAAATAAATACATCTTTTTTTTAGTTTATTTTTTTTCTGTTTCATTTAGAAATGCTGATTTTTAAAAAGAATATAATAGTTTATTTTTACATCATTTTGTGCATTTTTTCATCTCAGTTGTAATCCCCGTGGGTTTCCCATCGCCAGCTCACCCGTGTGCCATCACCATAGTCCAGTGCACTTCCCTCCCCCCACATAAATACATCTTTTTAAAAAATAAAAATAAATATTTAGAAAAAAATAATGCATTGTCTGATTTTACCTCTTTGAGTGATTGGAATTAACTCTACCTGGTAATAATGTTTATTTTATTTTCTGTTTGTTTTGTTATCAGAGTTATGCTTATCAAATAAAGTAGTACATTTTATATTTCTGGTCCACTTAGCGATCGTAGGAATTTTCCATTCTACATAGGTTTTCAGTTTAGTTGTTCTATTGTTGATAGAGTAGTAGTGACGTTCAAGTATAATTGTGTATGTGTCCATTTCTCTTTCTGGTTCTAGTGTTTTAGCTTTACATATTTGCATCTCTGTCATCCAGTGCAGGCACTATCGGGTGGTTAATGTCTTATTGGTGTATGGAAACTTTTATTATACTGATGTTCCTATGTTTTTGGTAATTTAGTTCTTTTCTTTGCTTAGAAGTCTGACAATCTGTTATTAAAGTAGATAATTTTGCCTTTGATTCTTATTCAGCTGTTGTATCATTTTTCTACCCTTTCAGGGTCAGCCTGCTTGTGTTGGTGTAGGGGAAGTGAGACAGCATATGTTGTCTCCATATTTTTTAACCCATCTGTCAATCTGTGTCTTTTGGTTGATGCAACTAGACCATTAACTTGGAGGAGAATTATTGGTAGATTAGGATTGACATCTGGCATCTTGTTTTATTGTTTATGTTTTATCTTTTCTTGGTTCTCTACTCCTTTGTTTTCTTTTTCCTACTTCCTTGGGGTTTGCTTAACCAGCTCTTAGAATTCACTGAGCTATAGCACAGTCATGTGATACCTAAGGATGAGATTCAGTTCTGAGGAGTGAGTCACCATTTCTTCCTTGTGCAAATGTCAGAGTGGAGTCACACAGACCCAGCTGGCACAGCCTGCACCTGGGCTCCGGCAGGGCGGCCCTCGTGTGCTCTTCTCCCTGACTGAACATTATGCAGCACGTGATCCATGTTTGTGAATATACCTCTTTAGTTTTTATTACAACCGATAGCATTACATTGTGTACACATAGCTTTCCACAGTCAAACAGTACTGTTGTAGTTTTCTTTAGGTAAACTTTGAACAAAATCAGAAAATAAATTTCGCTTTCAGCATCAAACATCAAATATGACTTCAAAAACTTAAGGAAAAAAGCTTATTGTTTTTATCATTTTCCTTAGATGTTCCTTCTCCCTTCCTCCTGTTCTAGTGGCTTCTTTTAACATTACTTTTCTGTTCAGAGAATTGCCTTGATCCTTTATTTAGGGTTAGCCTGCTGGTGATACATCTTAATTTTCCTGGAGGAAATTTTGAGGAGTATAGGATTCTCACTTGACAGTTCTTTTCTTTTAGCATTTGAAACATACTGTGCCATTTCCTCTGGCTTACATGGTTTCTAGTGAGAAATCTGTTTGAATTGCTCTCCTCCCTATGAGTAAGATGTCATTTTTCTCTGTTTTTCAGAGTTTTGGTTTTTTTTCAGGTGTAATTATGATGTAGCTCGGTATGGATTTCTTTGGGTTTATCCTGTTGGAGATTTGTTCAGCTTCTTGAAAGATTTTGAAGAATTCTTTATTCTAGATACTAATTCTTTGTCAGATGTGTGGGTTATGAATATTTTTCTATAACTCGTCTTTTCATTCTCTTAAGGGTGCATGTCTCTCTTCAGCATGTTTCTTATAAAAATGGGCTCTTCAGCATGTTTCTTATAAAAATGGGCATGATTTTCAGCCATCAGTTCTTTGAGAACTCTGTCAGCCCCATTCTCTTTCTCTCCTGGGTCTTTGAAACTACAAAGGGAAATCTTTTGTTGTAGTCCGACAGATCCCTGAGACTTTTGTTAAGTCTGTTTTCTCTCAGCTGTTCAGATGTGTGCTTTCTATTGTTCTCTGTTCCAGTTCACCGACTCTTTTCTCTGTTCCCTCCATTCTTTTTTTGTGCTCATTCACTGAGCTTTAATTTCAGTTATTATATTTTTCAGCTCTAAATTTTCCGTTTGGTTCTTCTTTAGATCTCCTGTTTCTCTGCTGAAGCATTCTACTTTTCTCATCTGGAGGCTATTTGTAGTTTCCTATTAAAGCATTTTTACCATGACTGCTATAAAATATTTTTTGATAATTCTAACATCTCTGCCCTTGAGGGGTTGGGTGCTGTTGTCTTTTTTAAGTAGAATTTAACATCTTCTAGTTCTTGGTGTGATGAATGGCTTTTTATGGAAATATAGTCATTTATGTGTGAATATGTGAGACTCTGGACTTTATCAAAGCTGTATGTTTTAGCTGACTTTCTCTGACACTGCCCTGGCTTTATATCCACAGTATTCACATTCCCCAGCCTCAGTTGACATCTTCTTGGAGGAACCTTCTCTTTACTGCCGCGAGAGGATGGGCCTTCTGCTTCCCGACGTGGTTTCCTCTGCCACCTCAGTAAAGATGGCCTCATTAATACTGAAATGAGTACAATTTTTTATTCCAGTAGGCCCTCCTCGGATACAATCCCAGGAGCGGGTGAGATGCCTCATTACTGCCTGTCTGGGATGGGAGTCTAGGCTCCCATGTGGTTTTTGCTGATCTTGCCCTGTCGGAGGCCTTATTACCAACTGTCTGGGGTCAAAGTCCCCACTGCTGCTTGGCCTTCTGAGAAACCAGCCAGTAGGGTGATGGGGTGTCTCCTTACAACCATGGGCTCTCAGCATGGCCAGTGGGACTGTGGGGGGTTTGGTGGGGGGCTTGGTGGCTCTAGCTCTGGATCAATTTCAGGAGGGAAATTTTCCTGAGATGTGGAGATTGCTAATGTATCTTAATTTCCTACAGCCCTGCCAGGCTGTCATGATACTTGGTCCTAATGTCTGTCTACCCCCTCTACATGCAAGCTTTGGGGCATCAGGAACTAAAAAAAAAGAAAAAAAAAAAAAAGCCCAACCTCTAAGGGGTAGAAGCTGCCCCTGGATTGAAAGTGGAAAGACCATACGAAAAAGACACTTCCTTTGGCTTCTCTCTCTGTGTCTCACATCTCACTTTTATATGCTTCCTTTAGTGTCTTTTTATTATTACCTTAACAATAAGCCTACCAAAACACTACCCACGCATCTGCTCAAGAGATGCCACTATGGAGAGTGTCTCTCCTCCCCCAGTGGTGCCGGTTAACCCATTTCCGGGGTAGCGATGGGGGTGGGCTGCTCTCACTATGGTGTTGGCTGCTTTACCACCGCTGTTGTAGCTCCAGTGCCCGGCAAGGTGCTTAGTTCTTTTTCTTTTCTTTCTTTTTTCTTTTTTAAGATTTATTTATTTATGCATACAAGAACTGGGGTGTAGGCCAGAGGTGAGGGGATAAGAGGATTCACTTGAGACATAGTGGGGAGCAGAACAGGCAGATCCATTGAAACACGCTGCTGAGGGGAGCAGGGGGTTGGAGGAGAACAGGAGAGGTCTGCTGGGCCATGTGGGTCAGCTCCCTGGTGGGGGTGGAGTGGGGGGGATGGAACGTGCGGTAGCTGCTGGTAGCTTCTTAGTGTTGAGACTTAGGCCCCTGTGCTCCCAGGGAGGCCCGGATGCTTAATATTTCTTCAACAAACAAAGCAATACATGAAAGCAGAGAAGGCAGACAACTGTGGGTTGGGTCTGTGCTGAACAGAAATTTTATTTTTATTGTACTCAGATCTGTCAGTGTTTCCTTTCATGGTTTGTGGTTTTGGTATCTTACTTAAGAAAACCCCACCCCAACATCCCTATACTTTCTTCCACTAACTTTATTTAATTTTATAGTTTTGCCTGTTGTGTTAAAGTCCTTACTGCAGCTGGAGTTTACTTTTGTTTATGATGTGTGGGTGAGATGCAGTTCTATTTCTTTTCTCTCCACAGAGTGAATAGGTTACTTACCTATCTGCTAATCTAACCTGTTCCAACCCTATCATCCAGCCTCTATCCACATCAAGCCTCGGACAGCTCATGGTCTGCTTTGTTCTGTGTTCTCTATTCAGTTTCTGTCTTTTAATTGTTAGTGACTAAGCAATACGAATTGTGGGGGTTTTTGGTGTGTAGTTGTTAATGTTTGTTTTGCTATGACTTCTGTAATATATGTTAATATCTAAAAGGGTGATTCTCTCATCTAGTGTCTTTTTTTTTTTTTTTAAGATTTTTTTATGCATGCCAAACTGGGGTATCAGCCAGAGGTGCAGAGGCTGAGAAGATTCACGGAGTAGAAAGCTGAACAGGCAGATCTGCTGAGGGGAGCGGCGGACAGGTCAAGAGAGGTCTGCTGCACCATGTGGGTAAGCTCTCTGGCCAGGGATCGAACTTGTGCTGCAGTGGCCCATCCAAACGAATAGCTGACCTTTTCACTTATACTGAACTTTTATGTCCTGCCACAGTTTCAGATTTTTTTCCATAAAGGCTTTACATAAAACTTTTATATAAAGAACATTCTTTATAAATTTAATATAGATTTTGTTTCTATTTTAAACATTTTTTTTTAAAGATTTATTTATTTGTGTATACAGAACTGGGGTACAGGCCAGAGGCTTAGGGGCGGCGAGAGGCTTCACCAGAGACAGAGTGGGGAACAGAACAGGCAGATCGACGAAGTACACTGCTGAGGGGAGCAGCGGGCGGGTCAGGAGAGGTCTGCCACGCCATGTGGTCACCTCCGGGGCAGGCGGGGATCAAACTTGTGCGGAAGCGGCTTTAGATTCTCAGTGCTGTGCT